TCCCCTGCTCCCGAGCTCAGGTCTCCGCTCACTGGGGGTACAGGGGTCAGGGGCCTTTCAGAAGCTTGGCCCAAAAGTCTAGCGAAGCCAAGTCAACAAAGACACCAGACTACCTTGGGAACCCACGCTTCCCCACTGTGCAGGAGCCACCTGTGCCAACAGGTGTTCTTGCCAAACTCATTAAGTCTGCATTGTTTCTCTCATGTTTCGGGCAGCTTAGAATTCTAAGGGGGAAGCAGGAAGGCCCCCAGGGCATAGCCTGGGTTCCCGCATTTAGATCTGGGGCTGTATCAGGCCAGCAAGAATGCCCAGGGCTCGCCCAGTCACATGGGGAACAGAAGCACGCCCTGCCATGGTCTTTGGTCAGAAATGGGCCCAATGGGGGAACTGGACCGGCAGGCTCATCTTCCAGGTGCATCCCACAGGGGATGGCCACACCACAGGCTTCTGGGAAGCCGTCCTCTCCCTGAGTCCATGGGAAGCCACTTTGCCCGCATCTCAAAGCACGCGGGCACTGCCCTGAGAGCTGCTGGTCTCACGTCCCTAGCATCCAGCTCCAGTAGGACCGACTTGGACTTGCAACATCACCTAAAATCCATACCCCGGGCTCAGCAGGCAGAGCGAGTTCCAATCTCTCCTGATGTAGGGCAGGAGGGGGAAAAGCCAAGGGCTCGAGTTCTTGCAAATCAATCCCGGAAAAGCTCCCAGAAGGACGAAGGAATTCATTCACTTGCTTGCATGTGCATTTGCTTAGTGAGGCAGCCCGGGAACAAATATCTAGACACACACATGCAAATAAAGGACACGAGGAATGGAGGCCAAGACCCCAGCGTTGGCCTTCTGCGCCCCCTGTGATGTGCCGGGTGAGCAGGCCGGGTTCCGGCGAGCTCTCCACACCCACCAGGCCCATCTGCCACCGACTCTGCAGCAGCCAAGAAGGCACAAATCACAACCCCACAGGGCTCCTAAAAGATGCCAAGGGTCTTGGAGAGTGACGAGGTAAAGGCACGCACACCAGACGATGTCCGACTGCCTGTCACAAAAATCAGGTCGGCCAAGGCTTCTGTGTGACGTCAGAGAAGTTTCTGGAAAACTGCAGAAAGCCACAAGGCACACGCTGGAAGCCCAAGATTCACCAGAGCCAGAAACTTGGCTCGTGGCATTCTCGGAAGGCATTTTCCAGAGGCAACGGAAGGGTAGTAAATAACAGCCAATCGATAACTAATTTCGGCCCCGCCGTCCTGATCTGTAAGTAATCTCTCTGAGCCCACGCACGGTCATTTTTAGGAAAGAACTTGGAAGGCGCTGCTCGTGACAGTCCAGCAGAAGAAGAGGAGACACCGCTTCTGTCAGCCCATTGACGAGGCTGGAAGACCGAGGTGCACGCTACTCAGCAGCCCGGCTAACAGAGGCCCCGGGGCATCTGCTACCTTTTCCTGCATCCTCTTGGCCATCCCCTCCCCAACCCCCAGAATAAGTCTTCTTAGGAAACCCAGAGCAGGAGCAGAAGGAGGGGTGCGGGGGAGGCCAACGCCAGAACTGGCATCCCAGCTGACCGCACACACAGTTCACTCTCCGGGTAACTCACCGTCCACCAGCGAGTTTCCTGTGTCGTAGCGACAGCACGTAGGAACAGGTAGGCCTTAGTCACAGCCTATTTTAACACCTTGGGCACCAAATAAAACTTGCACATCTCTAAGGAAACATACAAAGGTGTCGGAAAAGGGTCCCATCCTCCCACTCCCACTTTAACAGATGCACGAGGCAGGAAGCCCCTCCCCCCGCGAGCAGAGGTGCTGTCAGCATTGCACTTGTCCAGGCATAGGCATCCAATGGTTTCCTTAGAAACAACAAGGGGCTGATAGCAGCGGACACACATCCCACTGGGTCTAAGGGTTTCCTGTTACAGTTAACACCTATCTGAATGGGGTACAATGGAGCCAAGCAACTGAAGGAATCTGGTATTAGTCATTCATCAGATAAAACCTTTTCGGAGAAACAAATGGCTCTATATCCTCCTCGGAGAACAGCGAGCATTTGAAACACATTTTCCCAGCGATGTTATGCCGAGGAAAACAGCTTAGAAATGTTACTTTAAACAAATCCTTCTCTGGCCACCAGCGACGGGAGGGATCAGAGGGAAGGCTCCCCCTGTCCACCTGTCAAAGGCAATCGTGACCCCACCGACCCAGGAGGCGGCCTCTGGAGCTGTGAAATGTGCCACCCCACACAGAGGCCCTTGGTGCTGGATGCCAGCTTGCTCATTAGGGATTATCCCAGTCGCCTGCAGCAGGGCGAGAGGAGATGGGCTCGCCGCCAAGCGTTCTTTCCACACAGATTCCGAAAGAAGATCCTTCGAAGCGCCGAAAGCCCAGATTTTCCGCGCTGCACTTTCTAGATTCTGTTACATAGCAACCGTGCCTGCGCACGGAGAGTACCAACCAAGTTAATATTTTGTTGAAATGACACAGTCGATTAACCCTGTAGGAAAACCCAAGTCTTCATCATCCTCAAAGGTAGCAGAAGCTACCAACCTCCCTCCAGCCCTGGTGGGCTCGCTCAGCACATTTTTTTAAAATGATCTTTTGGAACCAAAAAACAAAACGGAGAACTAGATGTAGCCACCTTCCCCGTAGGAGGAAGCCAAAGGTGACGCCCTCTGTATAACCCCTTGTGCCGGTACTGTCAGAAAGAGGTGCCACTAGCATGCGTCTAGGAGGTGCAGAATGCCCTTTGGTTAAAAGGTGATGTCTGCAGGTGCACCGTGAAAGAGGCTCCTGGACTCAAAACCCTGGGAGACCTTGGGCCCCCTTGAGCACAGCCCCACAGCCCAGAGGCAAACACAGGACCAAAGGGGGTACAGCACCGAGAAAGGCAGCCGGCCCGCAGAGAACCCAGCACTGTCCTTTAGGACAAGGAAAACAACAGTGAAAGAAACAACCAGACCACCTCTGCAGAAGGGAAAAAAACAAACCAAGACAAAAGCAAAGAAAGGCAAGTCAAGTTCACGGGAGCTGAATCAAGTCAGCAGTGCTGGGGCGAGGGACTGTGGCTGCAGACAAGTCAGCGATGCCCGCGGGACTTCTGGGGAGGGATCGGGGTTTTCTCTCCAACCATCATGTCGGTGGCAACGCACATCAATTAGACGGATAGGTGGGCAGCACTTAAGTTGAGTTAAACCTTTCATATTTGATCTTCTGATTACCAAGTCACCAAGCACCCCTAGCAATGGCTTTGAGAAATCCCAACAAATCACAGAGACCATCACAGCCCTCCCTGCACCCCGTCCCGCACGGCCAGCCACCGGCACGCACACAGGACACGACGGAGGTCCCCAAGCCATCTTCCTGTCCCTGGCCTCCCACGTCTGGCGGGAGCCCCCTGTTGCTCCGCTGCTACAAGGGAACCAGGGTCTCGGCTCCAAGTTGAGCAAGTGCATGGTCACTGCTCAGGCTTCCTCTGCACGCTCGCTTTGCAGCTGACCCCAGCTCGGGGACAGATAACAGGCAGGTGGCCCAGTGTCCCTCGCCCAGCCTCTGCAAAACGCCGGCACTGAGCTGAGCTCAGCAGAGAGCCTGGCCATGGAAAGCCCCGCATTTACCTAGCCTTCGCCCTTCCGCGCCCGGCTGCCCGGGGTGAGCATCACAGGCTCCACGGCGAGGCAACCAGATGACAACCTGGGAAACAGCACAGCGAACCAACGCCAGGGCCGGCGCACACCTCTCTGCCCATGACGTCATGGTCACTTCTCTCCCAAGTCGCTGCCCCCCAGGCCTCAGACTTGGGAGAGACTTCTGGAGGGCACCGCTGACTCGGAGTTGGACAGGAAACCGCTCGAGTTCACGGCGCACGTTTCACATCCAAAAAGCACAGCTTTCCCGGGGAGGGCGTCCGGAGGAACGCGGATGCTCTCCCAGCACCCAGGAGAAGCTCCCGGAACGACACTGACACCGGGACGTCACCGTGAGCCGCAGAGCGACTGGAACCGCGGGCTTCATCAGGTGCCACCCTCACCCAAGGGGCCCTGCTGGGCTGGGGTTTTTTGTCCGGCCAGCTCTGCATGTCGGCAGTTTAGTCATTTAAACCACAGGAGGAACCAGTCCTGCTGTTTCTCAAAAGGCAATCAGGCAAAATAAGATTTTTGAAAGCCCGCTTACCCTTGGACTTTCCAAATTCACAGAAACCAAACCCAAACAGTTTTTTGAAAAGGCTCCTCCCCCTTTCCCCCCCCCCCCCCCCGCAGGGGGTCTCAGGGCTGCAGCTCCCGCAGTATCAGCCCATACACACGCCCTCCTGCAACCCACCACCCCAGCCACAGCCCTGGGCTTTCTCCCTGCAGAGAGCTCCAGCTTCTGGCATTTGCTGGAAATCTCAACTCCCTGCTGAGCACCACACCTCCTGCGGGCTGGGCTCCGCAGATTCCATCGCCTGGGCGAGCTCAGTCTCAAATGGGAGAAAATAAAGTCCAGATGCAACCTAGACCAGGGATCGGCCGTGCGTGGAGAGAAGTGCACGCCAGTCCCGTGCTCTCCGCCCCCAGCGCGGCCGCAGAACCCGAAGCTCTCCCTGGGCAGGAGTGGTTCCCCAGAAGGGAGCCTTCGGAACTGGGGTGTGGGGGAAGTGGGTGGTCCTCTATGCCGGGGGCCGGGGGCAGCCGCTCTGGCACGAAAAGTTTGCCACGGAGCTGGGGGCGGCGTGCCACGGACAGGGGACTTTCTGCAGCCGCGAGAAGGGAATCGCCGGCCACGCCGCGCCCACGCCAGCCGGGGCCCGGTCGACCCTGCGGCCCCGCGCACACTGCGCCCAGGCTCTCCGTGCCCACAGCAGCCTTGCAACTCCCGGCCCGGGAGCCCCGGTGGCCACGGCCGCGCGGAAGCGGTCCCAGGCCCTCCTGTGCACGGCGCCGTCGCCCTGGGCGCGCGGGGCACCCGTCCCCGGCCGGCTCTGCGCCGGGCGCGCGCGCTCGCCACGCCTGGGCCCGGGCGCCAGGCGCTCCCTACCTTGCGCGCTGAGCTGCTGGTTCTCCATGCTCGCCGCCGCCGCCGCCGCGTCTGCCGCTGCCGCCGCCGCCGAGGCGCTGCCCGCGGCCCCCGGGCCCGCGCCCGGGCCGCCGCCGACGCCGCTCAGTTCCGCCAGTCTCCGGTTGGTGGCCGTGAGTTCGGCTCGTAGGTTGGTCACCTCCTGGCTGGCCGACTGGACCGCCCCATCGATGCGGAGCGCCAGCTGCTTATTGTCTTCCATCATGCTCAGGATTTTGGCCTGGGGGCGAGAGAGGTGACAAAGAGCTGCATGATGCGCCGGGGGCGCGCGGCCGGACACCCCGGGCTCTACCTGTTGGGTCCCCCGCGGCCCGGCTCGCCCGCGCCCCGACCCCCAGGCTCCCGCAGCGCCGGCTCCTCCGGCGCAGGAATGACAGCGGCGCCTCCAGCCCGAGCCGCGGCGGTGGCGAGGCTGCGGGAGGGGAGGGGGGAAGAGGACGAGGAGGAGGAGGAGGAGGAGGAGGAGGAGGAGGAGGAGGAGCGGAGTGGCGGCGGCGATCACTGAGACCCCGGTGGGCGGGTGGGCGCGGAGCGCGGCTAGCAGGACACCGCGCGCCGCCGGGCACTCTGTGAATGGAGCCTACCATTCGCTGCCCGCCCGGGAGGGGGCCTGGGCCGGGGGCCTGGGGTCTCCGCGGCCCCCCGCGGCCCCCACGGCGGGGACACACCCCCCAGGGGGCGGGGGCGGCGGGCGGCGCCGGGCGGGGAACAGAGGGGGCGCCCGGGCTTGGGGTGCGGGGCGCCCGGGCCGTGGCCGGCCCTCTGTCCCCTCCCTGGAGTGGTGGGGCAGCCCCGCCCCGGCCAGCTAGTGCCCGGCGCCGAGCTGGGGTTGGGGGGTGGAGGGTGCATGGCGGGGAGGGATGTTCCTTCACCAAGGGGGCCCTGGAGGGGAGCGGGGAGGGAGCCCCGCGGGGCGGGGGCAGCTTCGGGAGCTGAGCTGCTGCTGCTCTGTGGGCGCCTGAAACTGCGGTGGGAAATGCCCAGCGGGGAGCTGTTGTCCCGCGCCCCGCCCCCCACAGCCCCCTGTGTGCGCCCCAAGTGCAGGCGCAGCCCCAGCCAGGGCGCAAGCTCTCAACTGGGCCGGGTGTGGGCGAGGGTCAGAGAGGAGGTCCTGGGAGAGGACTGCAAGGGGGCAGGGAGGCTGCTTCCCTGTCTCCTCCCAGCGGAGGAGGGGTGTGGGGCTCTGCTGCCTCGGTTTCCCCACTCCCTCTTAAGGGAGGGCTGTGGTAACCTGCCCGCTAACCAGCCCCTTCTAGCTTCACCTTCTCCCCTGCAGCACCGGTCTGCATTTTTCCGCTGGGGCCCTGGATTCCGGCCACCAGACCTTGTTACCATAGCAAGCTTCATTCCATGCAAATAGGACGATTTAAAGCAGCCAGTGCAAGGCATGGGCAACAGGGCACCAGCATTCCTGCTCCGGCACCTCTGGACAACAGCTAGGAGCAGCTGCAGAAGTGGGGAGGGGGAGGCGGAGGCTGCCCACCATCCAGGTTCAGCAGGGCTCCTTGGACGCCCCCAGGAAGAACTGAACCAGAAAGTGCATGCCCAGTACTGCCCCGGAGCGTTGTTCTCTTTAGAATGAGGGTTGGTATTCCCACTTTAGAGACGGGGCTGTGGGCGTGGGTAAGCAAGGGGCCCGCAGAAATCAGGACTAGAAGTAAGTAATCGTCTCATTCCGAGTCAGTCCCATTGCTTGAATGCTGGGATTCCCTTTGTGTGGAATCATAGAAACACACTCTGGACCCATCTCCCGGGGACATTCACAAGGAGAGCGGGACAGTGCTAGATGGGGGAGCAGGCGGCAGCTGGCACAGAGTCCACCCTGTGGGGGCCAGGGGTGGAAACCCTGAGCTTAGCCTCGACAGCGTAAGTGGTGGTCAGTGGGACCAGCTGAGGCACTTGGAGTGGCTCAGTGCACTTGTCACTCGGGATTCTGCTCTGCTAGGTTAGGCTGCACCGGAACCCCAAAACTCCAGAGCATCCGGGATCTCCAGGCGGGGGTGTCGTGGTGCGGCCACCGTGGGAAACAGTGTGGTGGGGTTTCAGAAAGTTAGACAGTGGGGCAGGTGTCTGACCCAGTCGTTAAGATACCCCTGGGGACGCCAGCCACCCCTGATCAGAGTGTGTGGGCTCCAGTCCTGGCCCTGCTCTCTTAGGGGATGGCTCAAGCGGATGTGTTACTGCCACCCACATGGGAGCCCCAGGTTGAGTTTCTGGCATCTGACTTCGTCCTGGCCCTGTGCCAGCTGTCAGGGGCATGTGCAGAGTAAACCAGCAAATGGCAGTTTTGTCTGTCTGTCTCTGTCTCTCTGCCTTTCAAAGTTTAAAAAGAAAAGTTAAACATAGAATTAGCTTATAGCCCAGCACATCCACTCACAGGTATGTGTTGGAAACAGAGTCTCCAATCAAACGTCCGTTAACACATGCGTGGATAAATGAGTTGCAGTACATCCATGTGTGGAGTATTATTCAGCCATGAAAAGTAGATCGTTCTGACACATGCTGCAACATGGGCGAAGCTTGGAAACATTGTGTCAGGTGCGGGACTCTTGACACAAAGGGGCAGGTATTGTATGAGTCTGTTTATGTGAAATAGCTAGAATTCGTAAACCCAGGGAGAAGGAAAGATGGGTGCTTGCCAGGGGTTGGGGTGAGGGAAGAACATGGAACAGCACGCTTAATAGGTTATTTTAGGGTCAAAAGTTTTGGAACGAGATGGAAGTGATGGCTGCTGTGCTGTGCGTTGCTAAACACCACCAAGGTGTTCATGTCATGGGGGCCAATGCTACATTCTGTGCATTCCCCCTCTAAGAAAGTCAGGTAGGTGGGATCTTCAAAAAGTTTGTGAAAGGGGCCGGCGCTGTGGCTCAGCAGGTTGGGCCGCCATCTGTAACGGCGGCAGCCCATGTGAGCACAGGCGTTGAGTCCTGCTGCCCCATTTCTCATCCAGATCCCTGCTAACGCGCTAGGGAAAGCAGCAGAAGATGGCCCAAGTATTTGGGCTTCTTCCACCCAAGTGGGAGACCCGGATGGAATTCCAGGCTCCTGCTTCAGAGAAGTGAGTGCCATAAAACAACTATGCATGGCTTTCAATAATTTTTGCATCAAAGTTAACTTTTAATTCCATTTCCATGAACTTTTGAAATATATGCAAATGCAAAAACAACAGGGCTGAGGACAGGGGGAGGTGTTCTGGGACCAAAGCTGACCGAGCCAGCGAGGGCCTCCGCTTCTGGAGAGCAGGTGCGTGCACACCACACCCCTGCTACAGCACTCAGCGGAAGCAACAGTCAGGCACCTGCTGAGGGGTCTCCCCCTTCTCCCTGCCTCACTGAGAGCGTCTGGCTGCTGGGGGCCGCCAGGGTTCTGAGGTTGTCGGTCTTCTCCCTGCCACCACGGCTGTAGTGAGCGCCCGCTGAGTGTGTATGAGCGTCTCTGTGCAGCAAACTTGCTGAGTGTTACTCATTTCCCTCCCCACACACTCACATCTCAAAATCAGAACAGACCAACTAGCAGGGAGAAAGGAAAACAAAGACTCATTCCTTGGGTCCCTTCGCATCTCTCTCTCTCTGAGGTTTCAACAAACTTGTGTTAGAAACTCCTAGAGTATCTCCTAGGACTTTAAAGAATTTTATTTTTTGAGATTTTTTCCCCCTGTTTGTATGATAAAGGGGGCTTTCCCCAGCTAGGTCTCTTGCTGGCCTAAAAGCAAGAGGACCAGATCTCTGTTGCCCACTAAAATCAATTGGACTTCCACCAAAAAGGCTACTGGTCTACCTTTGCCACGAACCCCAGCCTGTCACAGCTCTTCCCTAGGTGGTCTTAGCAAAACAGCCACAGTCTGTGTCCTCGGCCTCTTGCCTAACACCCAGCTGCAGGCCCAGTTGCATCTCCTGGGGTGGAGGTGGAGGGCAGAGCTGACATGCACCCATTTCTTGGAAGGCACACGCACACATCCGGAGCTGCCCCTCATCCCCATCTCTCTCTCTCTCTCTCTCTCCCTCTCTCTCTTTTCCCCAGGTCTCCAGCTATGAGAATGTTGACAGTATTGTGGGTTCTCCTTCAGGGTCCTTCCATCTACAGCTTCCTGAAGTAGCCTCCACCTCACGCCCTGGTAAGAAGCCCCCGTTAGGAATGGCTGGGGTTTGAATGTGTCTCCCGAAGTTCACACATGGGACCCAACACGCATGTTGACAGTATTTGGAGCTGGGGAACTTGGGGAGGATTTAATTAGCATTAGGCGAGGAGGGTGGGGCCCGCACGATGCATGAGCAACTTCATAAGAAGAGGAAGCGCAGCCTGAGCTGGTGCACCTGCTGTCTCACCGGGGGATGCTCTTTGCCACGTGTTCATAAGGCAGGAAGGGCCCGAGCAGAGGCCAGCACCTCCATGCTGTGCTCCCCAGCCTCTGCAACCCTAAGGAACAACTTCTTGTCTCTGTGGGTTTTCAAGTCTTTGACATTCTGATATCGCAACACCGCACCACACAGACTAAGACGAGAACCGAGCCAGGTCCACTTCGTAGGGAACCTGCTGCTCTGCTCTCCTTGTCGCTTGGTGCCGTCCCTGGCCACCCACAGAGCTCCACCCAAGGCTCGGGCACTGGCCCATTCGCAGCCGCCAGCCTCTGCCAGTATTTGCCGAGGGAGCAAACTGTGCCATGGGCATCTGGTGCCCAGCAAAGCCTGCCTGGGCATCTTGCAAAGCCAGCAAAACCCACCTGCTTCAGGCTCAGGGGAAGGAAATTCCTAACAAGAACCCAGGCGGAGAGCCCAGCCAGTGGCGCACTGGGCCGCCGTGGGCACTTCGCTTCTCTCGTGAACAGAGTGACCACAGTGGGGCACTTCTGAGAGAGAAAGGGGCACTCGGAACAATGAAGCCAGGGTGTGTAGCACAAACCAGCGCTCCCAGGACACCCAGCAGGTGTGGCCGCCCTGCCCACGACTGCTTTACGCCGACCACTTTACGCCAACCCCTTTACGCCCTTTGGTCCTGGAAGACAAAGCGGCTCTGGGGCCTTCCTGTTCACTGATGGTGACACAGAGCCCGGATCCAGGGATGGGCCACACAGCCATGTCACTGGAGGGGCTGGAGAGGATTAACAGCAGAGTCCCTAGCACGTGGCCCCCATCTTCCTGCTGGGGTGCGTGGCCCAACTTCCTGAATTACAGATGAGGCATTGGTGGGGAGGGGGGCGCGACGGTTGCCTTCTCATGCACCCCCCCACCCTCTGCCGGGCTCGCTGCCCTCCGGCCGCTTCCTTCTTGCCAACCGCAGGCCCTTTCTCTGCCTTTGCTTTTTCTCTTGCTTCTGGAATGTTCTTCCGGGCTCCCCGCGTCTGCTTCCTTCTCATCCTGTCGATTTAGCATTCCACACCTACTTATCCCGTAGCGTACATCACTACTGATGGGTGCCGCGGTTCTTTATTCGTCAGTGGGGAACACTGCACTGACTTAGGATTCGAGCGATCGCTCGCCGTGAGGTCACTCCCAACCCTTCTGATCCTGGGCTTCCCCAAGGTAATCCTGCCTTGTCTGGGATTCCGCGGCGTTCCCAAGAATAAGTGATCTTTTCTTGAGCTAATTGGATTCTAGCTAAAGCATGCAATAAAATGCTCTGGCTGAAACTACCCCAGCCCCCACCACATGCACCCACCCCCTGGACCACGTCTCCAGAGGCCACGCCTGCGTCCCCTGCGTCCTTTTGCTTTCGATGCCTGGTGCTCAGTGACTGCTTCTCCGAGGAGTCGGTGGGCAAGTGCGCTCATTTATGCTGCTCATCCTCCCAACTTCATGTCCGCCACGACTTTGCTTCTGTCACCAAAGCCCTTCTCATCTTGGGTCCTCCCAGGAACTCGAGTCGCGTCTTTATTGCGCAAAAGTCTTGCCCAGCTCTCCTCTTGTTTGTTGCTTGCAACAGCTCTGCTGGGTGGAGAGGCGCTGGAATTGGCAGATTCAGTCGCTGAGGTTCAGGGATTTGTCCTGCGTGCCCTTCCTCCTCCTGTCCCCAAGGGCTCCTCGTGTGTTTGTGTAGTGCATGACTGGGGGCCAGGACTCGGATGGCCCCATGTGTGGCCCAGCCTCATCTCTGACTCAAACATGGGCACTGCTTCTGGCTAAGGCTATGTTCGTGGGCTCCTTCCTGCAAGAGTGGCTTCCAGGAATCCGTACGGGGAACAAGGCAGGAAAGGGGAGATCGGAAAGAGAAGCCAGCATGTGAAGGACTCATTGGCCCCGGAGTGAGTGACCCCAGCAGCCCTGATGCTCCCAAGAGTCAGCGTGCGGCTGCAGGAGCGTGGTCCTCGCTCTTGCATTCCACTTCCTGCACACGCTGTCCCTTGCTGGGCCGTGGGAAGCACACCTCTAGCCCTCAGGCTGCTCCTGGAGAGAGAGGGTGAGGAGTCCCCGACACGGAAGCCCGAGAAGAAGATGCGTGAAAATGCAGACGCCCAGGCTCCACTCGTGACCTGGCTGAGTTCCTGGGGCAGCGCCCATCGCCTGCCTCGGTTGCACTGGAGAGTCTGATGAACGGTGATGTTGGAGACTCGGCCATCTAGGAACCGTGGGCGGTGCACACAGAGAACCGAGTGCAAGTGCAGGAAGCCTTGAACACACCAGGAGCCCTCTGGGTCTCTGGAGTGGGGGGGAGCGTCCCTGCCCCTTCTCTTCTGTCTGTCTCGTGTCGCTCACTCCCACCCACCCCAGCATCCTTGTGGCACTGCGACCCTCTCTGCAGATGGGTGCTCCGTGCAATGAAACCGTCGCACGCGAGTCCCGGCCAGTTCAGGAGAGGATTCTCTCATACATTTACACTGTTCACTGTGCCCAGGGGGTTTTCACCTGCGCTCTGGGGGCAAGGGCGGCGCGTCTCACAGTCAGCCGTCACCAGGTGCTCTGGGTGAGAAGACTCGGAGCCGGCAGAGACCCCAACAGCCATACATTTCCTCCCACCCCCGTCAGTCACTGTCATAGCCGCAGTTACGAACCAAAAAGAAACCAGGAACCCAAGAGAGGGGTCGCAGAGAGGACTGGGGGGCTGGGAAGCTGGAGTCACACGCGCCTCCCCAGCCCCCTGCTCGCGGACGGCCGGAGTGAGGATGGCTGGATGCCTGCCGCCTGTGTCCACCTGCAACCCGCCCAGGCCCTCTGCGGACTTGCCACCTGCAAATGGCCCTTTCACATGATCGCTTCCCATGCCGAAGCCCCTGTGCGAGAACGAGATAAACACACGCGCAAGGAGCCAGGCTGATGCAGAAGTGAGCCCCGCCCCCATCTTGAATGATCCTTGGCATTTGGTGACTTTCTTTGTAGGGGTGTGTGTGGGGGGGATCACAGGAGAACCTGTGGGTGTGACCCCCGACCCGTGGCCCTGTCACAGCATCTGCGGGAGACTCAGGAACACAGCCAGAAAGTGGGAGCAAAATATAAAACGCGGAGGTGAGCATCTCCCTGCAGAGCCACCGCTGGCTCCCCCAGAGAACCGCCCCACCCTGCGGCGCCTCGCCCAGCTCCAGCCCTCGCGTCTCTCGGTGCTGGGGGTGGGCGCGCGTTTCATTTTCCAGCTCTGCAGTGGGATTCCTGAGAAATTCTGCCTGCACAGCTACAGAGGATAGGGCCCGGGGTGGGCATTCGGACTAACGGTGGCAACGTCACCTAGGGGCCCACAGCCCCTCTCAGAGCGCCTGATCTCCAATCCTGGCTCCACTCTTGATCCCAGCTTCCCGCTTCTGCACACCCTGGAAGGCGGCGGATGGTGGGTCAAGTCCTTGGGTCCCTGCCACCCACATGGGAGGCCTGGGAGGAGTTCCCGGCTCCTGGCTGCAGCCTGGCCCAGTCCTGGCTGTTGCAGGAATGTCCTGCATTTGCCAGTTCTGGCATTTGAGGAATGAACCAGTGGATGGAAGAGTCCCTCTCTCTGTCTCTGTCTCTCTTTCTCTCTCTCTCTCCCTCACCCATTTCATAAGTAAAGAAGTTAATTAATTAATTGTCGCTCCCCCTCTTCATGGAGGAACGATACAGGACCCTGCGCTGTTCTTTCGTCTGCTCGGCCCTTCCCGGGTTTGCTGCTGGTTCTTCCCGGGTTGGCTACTGACCCTTCTACCTCCGTGGAAGGGCGGTTCCCCCTGCCACTTTCCCCACTTCCGCGGGGGAGCGGCACACCGCCGGCCGGCTCTCTTGGGGGCTGCTCAGGTGTTCCTTCAGATAGATGTTCCCCAGTGCATGTTGTCTCTCTCCTCCTTTATAGTCCTCTTCCACCAATCCCAACTCTGCTACCCACACGCCGAGTACGCTGCTCTCCTCCAATCAGGAGCAGGTCCTACAGTTTATTGGTTGAACTGGAGGCAGCTGTGTAGAAGCTGTTTACTCCTCTCCCAGCGCCATATTGTGGGAGAGCAGATGCATAGAGTAAGTCTTAATTCCAGTAACTTAGTCTAGTCCGAGTTGCTCCCCACAATTAATTACAGCTTTCAAAATATTTTTAAAAAGTATTTAAAGAAAGAAAGACAGGGTCAAGCCTTCCAGACACCCCCATACTCTGCAAATCAGCTCTAATTTCCTGTTTTGTGGGAGACCCCTTTCCACAGCCGTCGGGAGGGAGCAGGGCCAGCACGCAGGCTCTGGGGGCAGTGAGATGTGGCTTCAAGCCGCAGCCCCAGCACCGGCTAGCTCTGTGACACACGGCTCTCCTTAGCGCAGTGAGATACTCCCGCTGGCTTCCTTGGGAATTAAATGTGACAGAGGCCGTAAAGTACCTGGCAGAGAGCCTGTGGCCTGGGGAGGGCTTGAGGAACGTTTCTGATGATGGGGGGCCGCACACAGAGAGGCTGCGGCTGCTGCTCCTGGCGGCCCCTGCTCTGTGGGCATCCGCCACCATCTGCCACTGTGTTCCTCCGTGGTCTCTGCCACCTCGGGCCGGGCCCTCCCAACACTGAGGCCGCCACCAGGAAAGCACCGGCTCACGTTCTCGCCCGGCCAGATTCAAGCTCAGGTGCACCCACCTTTTCCTCCCCCTTCCCCCTCCACGACATGAATGCAGGGGCCCGCAGGGTGGCACGTGGGGTTAAGTCACTGCTTGTGACTCCAGCACTCCACATGGGAGAGCGGGTTCCCGTCCTGGCTGCTCCGCTTCCTGTCCAGCTCCCTGCTAACGCTCCTCGGACAGCAGCGGAAGGTGGCCCAGCTGTTTGGGCCCCTGCACCCCATGGGAAACCTGAATGAAGCTTCTGGCCCTGGTTTCAGCCTGGGCCACCCCTGGCTGGTGCAGCCTTTTGGGAAATGAACCAGTGGATGGAAAAACTCTCTCTGTGTCTGTCACTCTGCCTTTCAGATAAAGAAGTAAATGTGTGTGTGTACTAGTCTTTTTTTTTTTTTTTGGACAGGCAGAGTGGACAGTGAGAGAGACAGAGAGAAAGGTCTTCCTTTTTCCATTGGTTCACCCCCAAAGTGGCCGCTACAGCCGGCACTGCACCGATTGAAGGCAGGAACCAGGTGCTTCTCCTGGTCTCCCATGCAGGTGTAGGGCCCAAGCACTTGGTCCATCCTCCACTGCCTTCCCGGGCCACAGCAGAGAGCTGGCCTGGAAGAGGAGCAACTGGGACAGAACCGGTGCTGCAACTGGGACTAGAACCTGGGGTGCCGGCAATGCAGGCGGAGGATTAGCCTAGTAAGCCGTGGCGCCGGCCCGTGTGTATTAGTCTTTTTAAAGGCACAGATGGGGTCTCGTCCTCACACAGGTCGACGCCCCAAGGGACCTCTGTGTCCTTGCCGACCTGACGTCCTTCGTGGCCTCTACTGTGAGGAGGAGGGGCCGGGGCTGCTCCCTGATGGCCGTGTGTTTGCTCTCCTGGTCCCTGGAGACCCATTTGGTAAATGAGTTCTTTTGGTTCATAAAATGACATCGCAGTGGCTTGGAATACTTCACAGAGCTCCCCTGAACGGGCCGTTTATCCTTCGCCCCCGATAGGATTCGCATTGCTGGGGACGCCGTCCTCTAAGAGCTGTTTTCTAGTTTCCAGGGGGATCTGGATTCCACTTGAAGCACAGGGCACCCGCGCTGGTCCCGGTTTCACACGCACGGGGACACTCAGGTCCGCTCCCGGCCGTTCACGCTCCTTCTCAGTCATTTGTTCAGAGAAATACTTGCGTCATGGGAGTTTTCCACTCACTCCTACTCCAGCCCTCACCACGTGAGCACTTCTCTCTGCGACCACTGCTTTCCACTCCCAGGACGCCCCATGCCCTGAGCAGAGCCCCAGCACCCATGGGAGCAGATGCTGCTCTGTGAAGCTCCCAGCCAGCGGCGTGAAGACCCCGACGGCTGCTGATGATTCGTGGCAAAGGGGTCTCGGTGCTCGCAGCACGCACTGTCCTGTTTCAGGAGCTGCAAAGGGCCTGGGATCTCGCCAACTAAACGCAGCCAGCACAAGGTGCCCTGGGAAAGACATGCAGTAGCCAAATGGATCAATGGAGAATGAGACCTGCAGCCACCGGCCCCTGCGTTCAGGATTAACCGCCTGAGTATAGATGGAGAAGAGAGTGTAGACGACACAGGAGAGCTGTGTGGTCCAGCAGCCGACCCTTTGGGATGACCGTCTGTAGCCGGTACGTGGGACGCTGCCGTATTCCTCTGCAGGAGTGCCCTGCCTTGCTTTCTACTTTGAGCAATGGATGGCTCCACGTTGGGCACCACATGAGCGCGTTGTAACTCAAGAGGGCGCTGCCGCTGCTTGGGGCTACACCAGCTACGTAAGGGACCTCGCAAGGTCCCTGGAGCAGTGGGCGCTTGGACTTGTAGCTGAGCCACCGGGCAGGATGCCCATGTCCCTCGTCGGATGCCTGGACGCAGGTCCCAGCTCTGACCTGTGACTCCACCTCGGCGGGCAGTGGTGACGGCTCAGGTAGTTGAGGGTTTGCCACTCACGTGGGAGAGCTGGGTAAGTTCTCAGCTCCTGGCTTCATCTCCCTAAGCATGGTGGACATGCAGAGAGTGAACCAGCAAAAGGGAACTCTATGTCTGCTCACCTCTATCTCTGTCAAATAAATTTTAAATTTTTTTAATTTCATGGAAAAACGTAATTAAAAGATAAATTTACTTTAGTGCAAAAACCATGCAATCCACGCATAGTTTTTTCATAACTTGTGTTTCCATGAACTTTCTGAAGACCCTCCTATCTCCTATAGTCGAAGTCCTCAGCCACCTCGGGCAGAGAGGCCACAGGGCCTTTGCTCTGTAGCAGTGAGCGGCCAATGCTTCTGCTTAGGGAAACAAACAGGAGGTTTCGGTCTGGAAAGGGGCGAGCGAGGCTCTGACCAGAGACCCCGCCAGCAGGGGCTCGCTCCCGCCCTGCTCTGGGCTTCCTCTGTGTGCTGCACCCAAGTCCACAGCCACAGCCTGGGACCAAGGCCCAGCACCGGCTCCACATCGAGCCCTTCAACTCACTGGCGTGACAAGCGCGAGAACGGGTCTGGCCAGTGGCCGGCGTGGGAGCACAGTGGGTTAAGCCACTGCCTGCAATGCTGGTCACTCTCCTTTCAATCCGGCTCCCTGCTAATGCGCCTGGAAAGGCAGAGGAAGGTGGCCCAAGTCCTTGGGTCCCTGCCACCCACAGGGGAGACCTGCGTGGAATTTCTGGCCTGGCCCAGCTCTGACTATCGCAGCCACTTAGGGAGCAGACTAGCATACGGAAGATCTCTCTCTCTCTCTCTCTCTCTCTCTTGCTCTGGCAAATAAATAAATAAATGTATGTATGTTTGCGAATGTTTGGACTGGAGAGAGGAACTGGCTGGAAGGAAGAAACGGAGCTGCTCCCCCACCAGCCCGGAGCCCCGAAGGAGTCGCCCCGAGGACCCTGCACAAGGCCAGGAGCCCAACAGCTTCGGGATGCGAGCTGAGCCTGAGCCCCCCAGGCAGCTTTTGGGAAGGAAAGAAAGCCAGCTGGAGGCTCCTGGCCTGCGTCCCCGGGGAGCCATCACGCCCGAGTGGGGACCTGAAGACCTCCCTAGGGAAGCACTGTCAGGCAGGAACCCATGCATACTGCAAACAGACGTGCCCCTCCCTCCGCACGGCGATCCTAGCCCTGCCCCAGCCGGGGTGCAGGGAGGAGCCCTGGCCCTCGGGGGTGAGTTCCCTACGGAAACCAGACAGGAAGGGAGTCCATGCCTCTATCCACAGCGGATTTTCTTCCTTCCTACCCCAAAGGCTCTCTGTAAGGAACTAGATTCTAGTAGTTCTTTTTCCTTAATGTTTATTCTTACTTATTTGAAAGGTGGAGTGACACACACACGCATACATACACACACAGAGGGAGTCAGAGAGGGAGAGAGGGCGGGGGGAGATTGTTCTTGTATTCGTTTGTTGGTCCATTCTCCAAATGTCTACATCAGCCGGAGCTGGGCCAGGCCAAAGCCAGGAGCCAGGAGCTTCATCCAGGCCTCCCCCGTGGGTGCCAGGTACCTGGGGCTCACCTGCTGCGCTCACAGGCACACTGGCAGGGAGCTGGAGCAGAAGCGGAGCCACTGGGCCTCGAGCCAGCTCTGTGGGATGCCAGCGTCACAGGCTACTTAACCCTGGTGCTGCCACGCCGGCCCCTAGGTTCTGCTTCTAGGACCCTTTTATTACGGTTGTTTCAGGCTCAAGTCAACGCACGTTCCCAAGTCTACGTACGCCTTTGTGTGAAGAGCACTGGACGAAGCTCTTTTACATTTTTCATGAAATTTCAATGGAATTGAAAAGCTCTTCTTTCTCAATATTTTCTTGACTCACTAAGGAGAGGTCGAATGAGCTGGTAGATTGAGAACGGTGCTGCCTGCAAGCGAGTTTGGAGAGTGCTAGGCTAAGACCCGGGGTGACGGTCCTAGGGGGTTCTCACACCAGGCACGGCACTGAGTACCTAACTCCCAGGAACGAGCTACTGTCCTTGTCCCCATTTTACTGAGAAGAAAAGTGAGGCTGGGGGAGGTGGAATCCCTCATCCAAGGTTGCATGGGAGTCAGCAGCAGGGCTGGGACCAGATCAGGCTGGCAGGACGGCAGGGCCCCCCCTTACTGTATTGCTCCTTATACCCAAACTCGGGGCTGCACCATGGACTCCAAGCCTGTGCTAACGGTGGGGTCCGTGCACACAGCCGCACTGAGGATGGCACTGGAAGAGGGGGCGAGCGGGACGGGAACGGTGGGTGCCTCGCCCGGCTCCTGAGCACCCAGGGTTGGTCCAGTGGCTCTCATGGCCCCAGCAGCTCCACTTCCTGTCTGCCCCTCTGCCTTTCCCGGTCAGCAGGTGAGAGAGGAACCTCGTCCTGTGTGTGGCCTTGAGAATCTTAGAGCCGGAGGGGACCTCAGAGCCCGGGCTTGTTCCGAGGATGGGGCAGAGACCCAGGGAGACCAGCTGACCTGCCCCCAGCCTGCACTCGGCATGGCCATTCTTGCTCTGGAGCCTCGTGCGTGCTTTTATGAAGTGACCACGTGGCCGTGGGGATGCGCGGGAACACGCGGGGAACCGTGCTAAACCGTGGCGCTCCATCGCTCCATCCTAGGGACGCGTCAGAACCCACAGTGCCTCTTCTCTGGTTATTCTTCTGAGAAAAGCATCCCAACTCAGCGTGAGACAAACACCTCCAGCGAGGATCCCTTTGATCTGCTTTCCCTTGAAAACCTTCACAAACTTGGCCAGAAATTAACAATCAAGCCTTACAAAGCCTTCTTTGGTTATTCCAACCTAACAACAAAGAGCGAGGCCACGTTCTCTATAGTGTCTCCAGTGTCCCCTCCCACACCCCCGCTAGGAAACAGACGCATCTGCCTGACCCCGATTCGGAGCTCCCAAGGAAGGCTTGGGTTTCTCCGCCTCAGGACGCCATGCACAGCGCTGAGAAGGTGCTGGGGTTTAGCTGAGCCCGCTGTGATTCCAGCAGCCCACAGGGGAAGCCGGTCCTCCCTTGGGGAAGTGGACCACATGGCGCCCTGGCTCATACATCGGACTGGGCTGCTCTCCTGCACCTGGAATCCTTTGGCATCTCTGTGCCCTAAGTCCCTCCTTCCGCCCCGCCCCCAGTCCCACCCCGTCCTGCCCTTTTGCCTTGTAACTTCCCAGTAGCTTTCCCTAAAGTGTGCAACGTACCTCTCCCTGCCCCTCTGAGAGCAGGCACAGCCGAGGGACCCATCTTGTCCACAGGGGTGTTAGTGCACCTGAGCCAGCTCTGCATGTGCAGAATTTGGCCTTAGCGCCTTGTGCCTGGGATCCTCCGCAGGAAGAGCAGGCCCCAGCGATCTGCTCAGCCCCAGAGAGAAGACGTAAGGAACAGGCTTGAACTTACAGCCTGGGTAAGACCCCCGAAATCACTTTGCCAACGAGCAGATACGCAGACAAGAAAAATGACTGTTGTTGGAAGCCATTGAGATGCTGAGGTTTTGGGCTGCAGAGTGAAACTGAGCGATCCATGAGCGAACCCAGCGTTGGACTTAGCGGTGTCATCCTGCCCGTGCGCTTGCACCTGTGTAGCTGGTTGGCTAAACAGAGACCTAGAAGTTTTACAAAAAAAATTCTGGAAGTCCCAAAAGCAAAATCTAAACCGTCTCAGCAATGCCATATAACAATGATTCCTGTAGCATCTGCATTGTGTTAGGTTGACCATGTAAAGTATAGGAGAAGCCTGGTGTGGGTTGGGCACATGTGCAATGCCATTTTGTGTCAAGGATGTGGGCCACCATGCATTTCGGTATTGGCAAGAATCCTGGAACCAAGGGTTTGGGAGGGTGATGGTCTGTGTGTTCCGGGGATGCCATAACTAAGTGCCATGGAGTGGCTGGTTTAAACAGCAGAAAATAATTTTCGCCCAGTCCTGGAAGCTGCAAGTCCAAGGTCAGGTGTGGGCAGGGCTGGTGCCCTTCTGAGGCCTCTTTCCCTGACTCGTGCCTGACCGTCTCCCCCTGGTGCTCTCCCACGCTGTCCCTCCGTGTGTGCCTGAGTCCTAATCGCTCTGCCCCCAGGTGACCTCACTGTACCCTAAGGGCCTCTTCAAAAGCCCTTCCTGCAAAGCCAGCTCCATTCTGAGCACCGAGGGGTGGGACGGCAACAGGTGCTTTCTCAGGCGGACACAACTCAGCCCACGGCACTGCTTGCAAATCAGAGAACCTCAGAGCGCAGAAGCTTGGAGACCGATGGGCGACGCATGGGCTCGCACAGCGGGGAAGTTGAGGCAAATCTGACCTCAGGAACCCAGGAGTCCGGGCGGCTGCTCCCTCTCTCCCTCCTCTCTGTGCATTGCCCTCCTTTCTCTCCTCTGTGCACCCAGCCCGTCCCCATGCACGGGAGGCTGGGCAACGCGGCCACGGGCAGCTGCAGGCTTGTTGCATCCCACTTTAGTCATTGCAGATGGAAGACAGCTGCTCCCAGGGGAGAGTCGGCCTAGCCCTAGGCTGTCACAGGACCAGGGTGTGGCACCACTTTGATTGAGCAGGTCTGGCGTCCGTGCCCATCTCCAAGGCCCGGGCAAACAGGCTGGTGGCCCCGCTAGGGGAATGAGGAGTGGGGAATGGCCCAGGGTCCAGGGTGGGGAGTGATTTAGCAGGACAGACCACACAGGCAGAAGCAGGGCCTGGATGTCCACACGCACCACACCCCGCCCAGCAAGCAGATGGTGGGCCCGGGCTGCCGGCTGAGCGGCGACAGTGATGGTGACCGGGGCCGCTCGGGCAGGCCTTTAGTTCCGCACATGTGGCTTCAGCCCCAGCCTTGACTTCCCAGGCAGCCAGCTTTAGGCAAGCGGCTTAGCGTCTCCAAGCTCCAGTTTGTCTTTCTACTTTAAAGTGAGGGGAGCAAACGCATCGCTCGGTACAGGTCGGAGATGAGCCTTCAGTGCGGTCACTGTGGGAAATCCGTGTGTGTAGTGGGTGCTGTAGTGGCCCCCACGTGCCTGCCCCCTGCCCACCCCCGCCTGCTCCCAGCTTCAAGGGCCCAGGGGCTCACCCACCAAGGCCAGGAACGCTCTCCCTGCCACAGGAGCACACCTGCATCCCCCACCAGTCCTTGCCTCTGCTGCAGGGGCCCCTATGCCCCTTGACCCAGGGACAGTCCTGGCCCCGGAAGTTGAACACAAATC